TTCGATTTTTTTTATGTGCTCTGATTTTGTCTCACAAACTTTACAGGCATTCAACATGAACATAAAATGTTTGAGCTGTGGCTCTTGCGACATTAAGCGAGATTCGAAAAAAATACTCGCTATTATTATCAATCCTATCTTGAAGTAAATAGTTTGACACTTTTCTAATTTGAAAATGTTTGAAAAAGACCTGTGGTCGAAATAAATATTACATTCTGTCAAGTAAAGTATATATTTGCACAGCATTAGTTTTGGTAATTATCGAGGAAAAAAGGTCATGTTTTTACATTTTCTACTATTTATAAACATATGTTCCTCGTACAAGCACTAACCTCATTAAATAGTTTGACACGTTTAATCAACTAGCCATGCTGTTTAATCGACATATTATCATCTGGCCCGATTAGTCATTATGGCCCGATATTATCATTATGCTGGCCCGATTAGTCATCTGATACTACACGCTCGTCTTGACCTAGAAATGCAGAGACAACAGCAACAAATAATAAAAGAAAAGTACGAACCTCCACCATGCGCCTGTCTTCCTCCTCCGTCGTCTTCCGTTTTGTTCCACACTTATCATAGCGCGCTTTCAAACCCCTTTCCCCTTCCTGCTCATAACGGTGTTTCCACCGTCTGGCAGTAGTTAGAGCTACACTGAGAATCTCTGCCGCCTGCTTGACAGAGTGACCTTGATCGAAAAGCAAGATGAGGAGCCTGCCCTTGTCAAGATCACTGAGGTGTGCCATCACGCTCACGTTGACGTCTAGCCGCACCCACTCCACGCGGGCTGCGGCCGCATACTGCGGCTCTCCTTCCCCGGCTTTCCGCCCCACTCGGAACAGAAACAGCCAGGTCATGTCATTCCGTGACCCTCAAAGGATACTGTGCCGCATCACACTAATCGGTACACTCTCTGACACACCAGGCCTGCCCCGCCGTGGCCCAGCCTCGGTCCCGGTATGAGCGCGGATTCTGCGCTCAATAGTACATGCTTTTCTCCAACGATCTGTGTCTGAGCGTACCCGAAGACGTCACCATAGTTCAGTACGCTGACGATACTCAGCTTATGGTAACTGGCAGGAAATGTGACTTACAATCGATGACTGCACGCATGGAGGACGCACTGGCTCGTGTTTATCTGTGGTTCTGCCACAACGGAATGAAGCTCAACGCTGCAAAGACGCAGATGCTTGTTATAGGAACTCCGGCGATGCTTCGAACCTTGCCACCAGTTACCCTGAACTTCTGCGCGACTACCATTACCGAGTCTGAGACTGTGAAAAACCTAGGAATCATTCTTGACCGCCACCTCAACTTTGTGCCGCATGTAGATGCCGTAACACGGAAATGCACAGGCATGCTCACGGCGCTGATACACGCACGGCACGTGATACCACGATCAGCCCTGAGGCAGATTGTCGGAGCGCTGGTCATGTCAGTGTTGCGGTATGGTTTATCGGTGTATGGATCGTGTGGGGAGACGCAGCTTTGTCGACTGCAGAAAGTGGTACATTTTTGTGCGCGTGTCGTATCCGGTCGGCGGCGTCGCGATAATGTTGTGGCAGTCATTAACCCTCGCCCTGGCAGGGCATTTTTCATAACACGGCCTGGCAGGGGGGGGGGTCGATGCGATCCCCCCCCTCGCGATTGGCTCCTATGGCACCTAGAAACACCAAATTTGGTAGGTAGGTGGTCCCCCTGGAGTTCTCGCCCCTGTGCAAATTTGGTTGCTCTAGGTCAATATTTAGGGGGTTTTGGGGGGGTATAAATGTAAAAATTTCGCTAAAAACAGGCCAAAAGTTTTTCGCTTATAACTTTTGATCTAATAAAGATAGAGAAAAAAGAAAAGCACCAGTGAACTCAGCACGTCAAGGCGCGTCGAATGATATACTTTTTAGCTTGCTTAAGTGTACTTAAAGTTTTTCTTAAATTTTAAGTAAACTTAAATTAATAAATTAAGTTCAAGTTAACCAAACTGCATCATATCGCATATCATTCGATTCGGCTGATCACCAGGAACACAATGGTACCATTTTTTAAGCTCTAGCGTCATTATGTGCCAAGTTATTGGCAAAAACGTCATTTGACCTCAGTTGACCTCATTTGACCTGACCCATGGATAAGTACACCAAACAACGAAGCACCAAGTGACCTGCTGTTAAGTACCGTGGTTTCAAAGCACAAAAGTGATAGAACGAAGCGGATATCTCCAGTATTTTCCGAATTTAGTATTTTCCCATAGGCTTAACATTACGACGTAATGACCTCTAACTGACCTCAGGTCAGTGACCTCAAAAAAGCCGGAATATATGTTATACAACTCGGTGAACTTAGCACATCCTGAAAGTTTGAAAGAAATCAGTTGAAAACTGTGAGTTGGACAGGTGCAAAAAGAAAATTGAAATTTGACCATGACCTTGTACCGGTTTTTCTGACCTGGTGACCTGACCCAAGGTCACTTGGACCTGAAATTTTCAGGTCATATGTAAAAAGGTTGCCCCATAGGCTGTGCCAAATTTGGCGGCGCTGCGCGCCGCCGTTTTTACGCTATCTTCGAAAAACCTTAGGGGGGGGGGTCGCATCGACCCCCCCCCCCCTGCCAGGGCGAGGGTTAAGGAGCTGAAGTGGTTGACTGCCAAACAGTTAGTAACGTATCACACTGTGAGCGCTGTAGAGCGCATCATCACGTCTGGACAGCCCGAATATCTCCGAGGTACACTTGGCCAGCGGGCTAGCCAGCGTCATAGACACGACACCAGGCGCGCCTACTATTTTACACTCCCATCCATTCGCACGGAAGCAGGCCGCCGTAGGCTCTGCTACCGTGGCATAGCTCGTTTGAACGAGCTGGGAGTCGAGCCAGGTATTCTGTCGTACCGCTATAAAGTAAAAAATGTGCTGCTGGCCACGCCACCGACATGAACGTATGTTGAACGAATGCATGTGCGTGAAAGAGTTATGTATGCGCTTCATTGTTTGTATTTTCGGTTTTTCATTGACGTGAACATGTGAAAAGCCCCTCCTCAGAGGGGATCCTGTTTGAATACATCTGTATCTGTTACAGAATTCCACAAAATACTGACAAGATTATCAATTATGTTTAGTGGGGACGGGGAAGGGCACAGGGAAAGGCACGGGGACAGGACGGAGACGAAGACGGAGACGGAGATGTAGCGGCCAGCAGGAGCGGGGACGGAGACGGAGACAAAGAGAGCGGGAGCGGGAGCGCGGGAACGGGGACGGAGACGGCGACGGAATCGGAGACCAGACATATACAGAGACAGAGACAGAGACAGAGACGAGACGGAGACAGAGGCAGAGAGAGACGGAGATGAAGCGGTCAGCGGGAGGGGGATGAACACGGGGACGGAGAAAGAGAGCGGGAGCGGGAGCGGGAATGGGAGCTGGGACGGGAACTGGGACGGAGATGGGGATGGAATCCGAGACGAGACAGATACAGAGACAAAGGCAGAGAGGGAAAAAGGAGACGGAAACAGAGTAGGCATAATTATATCTTTAGCACGGAAAACATTACCGATCGTGAGTGGTGGGTCCCAGGGGGGAGGGGTGCAGAGGGAGGAAGGCGGGGGAGGGTCGGGGCGAGTCACTCAGATTTGGGATAGGTTAGTTACAGAATTCCACAAGATACTGAAAAAAATAGCGAATCATGTTTAGTATTACGAGCGTACCAATATACGTATAGCGTCTTGAACTGGGACCGAGAGAGAGAGAGAGAGAGAGAGAGAGAGAGAGAGAGAGAGAGAGAGAGAGAGAGAGAGAGAGAGAGAGAGAGAGAGAGAGAGAGAGAGAGAGAGAGAGAGAGAGAGAGAGAGAGAGAGAGAGAGAGAGAGAGAGAGAGAGAGAGGAGAGAGAGAGAGAGAGAGAGAGAGAGAGAGAGAGAGAGAGAGAGAGAGAGAGAGAGAGAGAGAGAGAGAGAGAGAGAGAGAGAGAGAGAGAGAGAGAGAGAGAGAGAGAGAGAGAGAGAGAGAGAGAGAGAGAGAGAGAGAGAGAGAGAGAGAGAGAGAGAGAGAGAGAGAGAGAGAGGAGAGAGAGAGAGAGAGAGAGAGAGAGAGAGAGAGAGAGAGAGAGAGAGAGAGAGAGAGAGAGAGAGAGAGAGAGAGAGAGAGAGAGAGAGAGAGAGAGGAGAGAGAGAGAGAGAGAGAGAGAGAGAGAGAGAGAGAGAGAGAGAGAGAGAGAGAGAGAGAGAGAGAGAGAGAGAGAGAGAGAGAGAGAGAGAGAGAGAGAGAGAGAGAGAGAGAGAGAGAGAGAGAGAGAGAGAGAGAGAGAGAGAGAGAGAGAGAGAGAGAGAGAGAGAGAGAGAGAGAGAGAGAGAGAGAGAGAGAGAGAGAGAGAGAGAGAGAGAGAGAGAGAGAGAGAGAGAGAGAGAGAGAGAGAGAGAGAGAGAGAGAGAGAGAGAGAGAGAGAGAGAGAGAGAGAGAGAGAGAGAGAGAGAGAGAGAGAGAGAGAGAGAGAGAGAGAGAGAGAGAGAGAGAGAGAGAGAGAGAGAGAGAAAGCGGGCATTATGGACGGGATTATGGACGGGACGGGCAGGGATTTCTATATAGATGTTCAAACGACGATACGACGATTACAATTAGCGCCGGTAGGCGCGGGAGGGTGACCTAGTTAAAATATTATATATTTTTCCAGACTCGCCTCATTTTGTTCTACATCGCTTCATCAGCTTTGCTATTTTCGGTGTCAGATATTGCCGCTAAATTTGAGCAGTAATGTATCACTCTGCATAGCTCCATACCCACTGGGCTGTTGTTTACGGTACTTCAGTTGCTTTGCTAAGTTATATTTACATAGTCTGACATAATTTACTGAAAGCCGTATGCGTCGTAAACAAGTTTATACTTAGCATCGTGCTTCTATTGCAAGCCCAGCTGCTCAGTCAGCACATTGAGCTGAGCTTGTGTATATCTTGCTTCTCCACTAAAAGCTACTTCACTGTCTTCCCTGATGCCCCTACCTCTCTTTCCCTCCCTCTTCAGGAGTGACCTGGACGCGCTGGGTCTGAACACGCCCTGCCGTATCCATGGCAACCCCGGCTCGGCCGGAGAGGGTCTCGGAGGTCACCGGCACCGCTCCTGTGAGCTGGGCTACTGTCCAGAAGTGTTCCGCGCCTTCGAGGGCGTCAAATTCATCGCGGAGAGCACAAGGCGTGAACAGGATACCACCAGAGTAAGCGCCGTGTCGGTATGTATAGAACAGACAGACCTGGAATTAACTTTAACAAGAATGTTTTTTGCAGTGTTTTTATTGTTAGCTGCAAGTACCTATTTAGTGGTGACGATAAGGACTAGGCTTTGCGTCGGTTATTTTCACTTTTTCAGACGAGATTTATTTCGATAGTTCGCACCTTATCATCATGATGGTATAGGCATTCAAAGATATGAAAATTGAGATTTGTTATATTCGTCGATGCTTATTATCAATCTTATTTCTTATTATCAATCATGCGTGGAGTACCAGCAATTCATCTGCATATGATAAGCGCTCCTTCTGAACGTCACCCACATTGTATTCTGATGTCACCCACATATGCCCGGCACTTTTGCGCATAACTCTTGGTTGGAAAAGCATGCGGCGGCAATAATTCACCATATATTGCCTAATAGATGTCACGAGGACAAAGTTTGGCCATTATCTGCGCCGTTCTGGACGGCTGAGCGCAGCGTTTAAAGTGGTGCCGTTTCGCTGCTCCGTCCGGCAGACCTATGAATTTGTTCCGGCGGAGACGCTATTACCATCCCACCCAGTCCGTTCGTCTAGGTCTCATCTGGTCGCCACCGATGCGCCGCTTTTGCCGCCGGTTCTGTACCGGCTTCGTCTGTGATGCGCCGTTTTTGGGATGGGTTCAGGCGCGCTTTGTCCTACTAGCAGACTGGTACCTCTCAAGCCTGAGAGGTATTACAATAGTCCAAACCACCAGACTGCACTTCAGCAGGCAGCGGCGCTCCTGTCTCCTGAACAGACGTGAGACGCGGTGGCACGTAGCGTCTCTGCCCTCACGCCTTGGGTCCGAACGAGCGCGGGCTGAAGCTGCAGTCTCGTTTCGCCCCATGGCACTAATGAAGACGCGCGTCGCTCGTGACCGTTTGAAGTGGGTCAGGTGGTTGGACTCTCTCAACCCAGGCAGTTGGAATTCTAGCCGTTGCTGGGCAGATTAGCTATCCAGTCTTTCCGACATTCCTATATATCTTTGTAAATTACAGGGCGAGTAAATTAGAGTTGTTGCTAATTATTCGCTGCGAGGACTTATTACAAAGTAAGCGACCAAATTATTTGTGTTCTGCTAGTTTTTTGTGCATCACGGGAAATGATACTCTCTTTCGCTTACAGCAACGGTAGGACCTCCTTCTGCTTCCATGTTTCACCTGATCCCCTACAACAGTTGAAAAAGCCGCGAGCTCCAAAAGCCGCTATTTGTTGTGGCAGTCTCGTCGTCAGCTAAGTGATCCGATTATAAACGCATTAAGCTGTCCGCCATCCTCTGAATTTTTATTTGATGACCTTTGAACATTTGCGAGCACGCCAAATTGGATTATTCAAAGCGTTCCTTTTAAGTTGTTGCAAAACATCTGCACACATTTCAAGCAGCATTGTAAGAAGTCCAGTTATTACTCCGAACTGACGAAATATTCAACCATATATGCCTTGAACGTTTTACTATTTGTGCAACAAGGTTACCATGCAAGTCACACCTGTTACATAAGTCGTTTGCGTTTACAAATGTTCTCGGAAGACAAAACAGTCACTCACATCTATACCATTTATCAGTAAGCTGTGTCTCCACGCTGGCCTCAAGGTTTCGTCCGTGGCTTTATAACCTCTATAGATACCCTGAGGTATATAGGGCCTTGACCCTGAGGTTATCTCTCATCTGACACAACCGTCCTACTCCACAGGTGCGCGAGGACTGGAAGTACGTAGCCATGGTGCTGGACCGGCTCTTCCTCTGGATCTTCACCCTGGCAGTGCTGGTGGGGACGGCAGGCATCATCCTACAGGCACCGACCCTTTATGACGATCGCAGGCCTATTGACGAAGAGCTCAGTGACATTAAAAGTCCCCGCGACCGGCAGAGAGGGCACCACTAGGCTGCAACCGTGGTCAGTCGACTGGTGCTTCCTGCGAGCATTGGTGACGGGCGGTCCTTTGGTGCTATGTTGGTGACGGCCCCTGGTGCTCTGTGGGTACTCTGTTGGTGACGGCTCCCTGGTGCTCTGTTGGTGATGACCGTCTGTTGTTGTGCTCAGTCCTACTTGCGGATGAACCGGACTTTTTGTGACGGTGTACAGAGCTGGATGTAAGCTGGCGAGATATTTGGTAGTGATGCGTGGGCTTGGAATCTGCATTTTCACGGTTAACAAGAGTCGGCGAGACATTGGATGGCACACATACGTGTATAACGTGGAGCTCCCGTGCCGAGCTGTGGCTTTCCGTGTCACCATTTGGGATGATGTGGGATGAAACAGCCACCGATGGCACTGCTGGTGCCCAGTTCATGTACCCTGGCTCTTTTCGAGACGAAGTGGAGACCACCCATGCTGGAAGTGTGAAAAGGCAATGGAGCATTGTCCGTTCTGGTTAAAGTTTCAACGTGTTCAAAGTACGGAAGTCTAGTTTGGGCCCGGACGATGTGGACATTGCCATTTCAGAGCACTGTTGCGAACTAGTCACATTCGTGAGAAAGGTCAGGAGCAAAGGCGCACATACATTGCCCAAGTTTGGGTTAGTTGGAAGGTTGCGACCGATCTTGCGAATTGTGGGGATCTCATGGCTGACATTTGATATTGACTGATGTATACAGTATGCGACTTTACTCTTATTTGAAGGTAGAAATAGCATGTTAGCAGATTCATTTGTTTGCTCAATGGTGTTTGATACTGTTTATATGTATGCAGGTAAGTAAGATGGTGCCAATTTAGTCAAGGATATAGATTTTGTCATTGTTCACGTCAAGAAGTAACCAACTTTTGATGTGCTTGCTGCTAGATGTTTTGTTGGATAATCAAGTGGGATGCGTGATGTAAAATGAACGATACAGAATTATGAATCTATCATTGGCTGAAAGATGTTGCAGGCAGCCTTGCTGCATTTTTCTCCATTGAAGCCGGTGACAGTGAAAATCCTTATAATCCGTATCGAACAGATGGCATCGGAGGTGGCGCCCTCTCAAATGTACGGCCTTCCTGGTCGGACGTCTGGTTGAGAACATCGCCATCTTGTGTTGCATGTCGCCTAGTTACCAGCTCCTGTGCACAACTACAGTTTCTTGAGAGGTGACCTTTGACCTGTCGTGGTCGCTAGATGCTGACCTGGCCCAAAGGAGGTCACTACGCTGACCTTTGACCCACATAGGTCACACGCTGTCCTCGTCTGTCCCAGCGTGGCAGCACAACTCGGACGTCTCCGAGGGACGCACAACTGCTCACTGCTCAATAAACGGTGTGCCGGTTTTTATGGGATGGGCACCATTTCGAATAGGGCGTGGATCAATGAGAACGTGTGATTAGTGAAGCTAGAGCGTGACATGTAATTTTGCTCTGGGAAATTTTGATTAGACCTCTGACCTGTGTAGGTAGCTTGATGTTTGCCTTGAACCCATAGAGATTGTTCAGCTCCGAGAAAATCAGTTAACAAGTAATAATAACAGCAATCCAGCGTATGATGCTTCGGCCGTTATTCTGTGGAAGAGTTGTCTTGGTCATGTTTAGCGTACGTTGACGTAGATAATTATACCATACCATTGCCTACCAATCTTCGCAAAACCGATTTATACAGAACTTTCTTAGTAAGTGATCTGAAATTTTCAGTTTTAAATTGGTTTGCTCTTTAAAGATTGAATTTTAAAGAAAACATGCCGATGTACTTGATAAGCAGCTTCGTTGTTCCGTGAACACCATTTTAACGATATCTGTTATAACTTATAACTATCTCATTCCTACCCCTGAACTAATTTTGGGCATAGCCCTCGCTGGCTATCTCACTTGACTACCATACCATGCCAATTGAAGAAAATAAGCACTGAAGATTTACGTACGTTACCTCGTTAAAGCCCCGGTCCCACTAGGCGATGCGACCACTTACGACCGCCCACGATCGGTGGTCGGCAAAAGGTTGTCGCAATTCTTCAAGAGCTCTTACGATTGGATGTTGATATGAACGACTTGTCTTCAGACGTCGCGAGGTCATTTTGGTCGCCAAGAGGTTTTTGATGATGCACTAAAAACCTCCTGGCGACCGATTTGGTCGCAAAGAGTTCGCGAGAAACCGCAACAAGTATTTCATTGTTCGCTAGTAGGAGGGCGAGTATCGCACGACAGGTTTCGGTGGTCGCGGGCCTAGTCGGGAGCGGTCGGCGGTCGTATGCAAGTCGCCGATAATCGCACGACGTTCTTCCCAACATCAGCAACCAGTCGCGAGACCACCAAGGTTCGATCGCCGAGCAATCGCACGATGGTGGCCGATTGCACGGCACTAGTCGGAAATTAGTCGACGACAGTGGTACGGACATCTCAGATCTCATACCGACCCTTATCACACGGCCGCGAACATATGTAGTGCTCTCACTTTGTGATCAGCCGTAGACGATGAAGGGGATGCGTAAAAAATCGTCCATTTTCAGTAGATTTTCAAATAAAAACAGCGCAATAAGAAATAAGAAATGATGTACCGCCTACTATATAGTGCCTCTCACGAGTCGGAGGTGGGATCCGACCCAAAAATACCGACCATTCCAGGCGGCCCAGCTCCAGAACATGAGGGACACGACACGGAACGCGACCAAGAAAAAGAAAATTGCTGAACACTTGACTCTGGAAAAGAACGAGATCTTAACCATAGCCCGTCGCCGGACATATTGGTTTTCTTCCGCGCCGGCGAAGGGGGGGGGGGGCGGGTACGACCCCCCTCCCCGTTTCGCCTCTGATGGAGCTAGCGCGTCTCAGGAAAAACAAGCGTGTGCGCCGTTACGAGATACAGTTATTGACACCCGATTATAAGGTCTTAGGTCAACCGGTGACATCTTACGTCAGGTCAAGTGCCAAAGTTATGGGTTCAGTTTTTGATGAATAACTTGGCTAAAAGAGACCGCCCACCGTTCCATGCTTCTATCCTCAGGATACGGAAATCCTTCTCCACGCCGCAACCCCACTCCGGGCTGGACAGGTAACTTTTGCGGGCTGCTCCCTTGGAGCGGCACCGCTGCTCCCGAGGGAGCACACCCCGTAGCCGGGTGCAGTGAGTGCCTTGGGGCTGGATGGCCTGTCCTCTGGACGGGCTCAGCCCCGGCGACTCACTAAGGTGCCTGCCCAGACCAATGTCTCCCCCTACATCCTATCATCCTCCCGGCTCTGAAATGGTCTCATTGGACCGAAAGGGCCTAACCCAACAAAACAAAACAAAACAAAACAATCAAGAGGCCGCAAAGCCGCGATTTTGACATCATCGTGTTCGCCTTGTTGAGACTTGTCGAATGATATACTTTTTGTTGGGGTTGAACTCAGGTCACGGTCAGGCCAGGGCTTACAGGTCACGAAGTTTGTCGAATGAGGTCATGTCGCATATCTTTTAATTTGGCAGGTCTTTTAAGTCCATTGGTGGCTCTCCCGACTCGCTAGTTCAATTGGATCGGGAGTTATTGACGAAAAACTAATATGGCCCTAGTGACGTCATTAACAATGCAAAAGTGATGCATCAAACTTGCAAAGAGTGCATGAAATCACGATTCGATATGCTTGGGGTTGGGATAGCTTAAGATCTTTCCCAGCGTCAAAATAGCAGTTTTTATTTTCCCCCATTGACTTGAAATGGTGAGGTCACGTAACCGACCTTTCGTCATGTGACCTTTAGGAAAAATCTGAGATGTACAAGTTGTGAGACCTCTACTACGTCCTGTAAGCTTAATCTCCTTGTGAAAGCTCCTCTGGCACTGAGAGCGTTTCGAAGTTGCGACCTCTGAAGATCGTGCAGAGGTTCACTTCTGACGCCATAGGTCAATGACCTGACCTGACCCGAAAATGCGGCTGGTGTCAAAATACCTGTAACCTGCCGATTTTCAAAATTCGAATGGCATTCGATTCCCTCAACGTGATCTACATTTTGAAGAATGGAAGTCCAAAAAACGCAAAAAGGTAGGAGGGGGATAGAAACTACACATTTCAGATGCTTTTTCAACTCCTCACCATGGCCATGTTTTTCAACCAATTTTGACGCAACTACTGCCGATCGATGCATGATTAGGTAATCAGAATTTGACATGTATTACAAAAATAAGCATTTCGAAAACTAATAGCCGGATTCCTACAGGTTATGAAATTTGGAGGCACATTAAATACATAATCAATCGGATGTTTTGTTGGTGCTGTCACCAAAACGGGCTGGCAAATTAATAATCTCATTATGATACAAAAACGTGTGATAAAATGCCTAAATTAGATTGAATATTCATAGGCGGCATCAGGGCACCGAAGGTGGGAGGTTGTAGGAGTTCCATACACTCGCGCACACCTGCTGCGCAGGTGCCGGTGTGCCACCGCTTGTGTAAATATCCGCGCACACACACTGCGCATGTAGCACGGTGCTTGCCAGACCGTCTGGCCAGAAGCGTTAGGCGCATGCGCGCATTTCAACGTTTTGTCTAACGTCCGTGTTTTATGTACAATAGTGAAATATGAAATTTTGTAAATACACACTTCTCTACTCATCAAACCAAGGCTTTGGAGGAAGACGGAAGACGAGGAAGCGAGGGCGACATGAAGAGCCCTGGTGGCTGACGAGTGCTCGGAAAGGAACACGTTTCCCGATCACCACGATCGGATGACCGTAAACTGGGACGACCGTCTTCCCACAGTTTACAAGGTGACATTGACCCTCTCCCCTTTTCCCTGGAACCACCTACGATCCGTTTCTTGTTCACTTCTAAAGCTGTTATACCTACAAATAATGTTGATATACCTACATAATGAATAATTACAGTTATAATGCATCAGCATCGTGATCGTTAATTAAATGACTCGCTTCACGAATAGGACCTCCCGATTCCCCATGCCCTGGAACCTCCCCTGATAAAGATATCAACTTAAAATTTTCAGGAAAAGTGCCCAGCTTAGTTTTAAGAAAAGTCAGAAAATTTCGGCATCCTAGCTCCAGTCGTTTTGAAGATATTTCCGAAAAGCCTCAGGGATGGATGTAAAAAGCCCCGCCCTTGCCACTAATATGGTTAGCGGAACATCCGCTCTTTACCAATCGTGCGGCAATCGGCGATAGGTCTTGAACAGATCTTCAGTCGTCAGCGGCCAGTCGTTACCTATCGCATGACGTACTCACGGCTGTCACCGAGTTTCGCACGTCATTCGTGCGACTCATGTCCCAATTTTTTCTTGGTTCGGCAAACTTCGTACGATGGTCTGCCACCGCTTGTGCGATTAGTCGTACGATGATTGCCGACCCTTTATATATGTGACCGTAATTGCGATGGATCTGCAGCATTCGGTGATGGTCGGCGGTGGTCGGCAATGATTTGGGTCGTAGGCGGTCGTAAGTGGTCGCAACGCCTAGTGGGACCGGGGCTTAATGAGAAAATCAGGGAGGAACGGCTTCGGCTATCCTGTCCCCTAGCGCTTCATCTCGCTTTGTCCTGACATGGACTTGAATGCTATCGCTCAGCAGTGCTCTGCGGTTGTTGAAATGATGTGAGTGACACATGGGGTAGAGGTGAATTTTAATGTGAAATATGTCCGAGCGTCAGAGTGTGGTGCAATATCCGAGGTGTTTGACAACTGTGGCGCGTTCTATTGTGCATAAATTGCTCACGTAGGTGGACATTTCTTTTGTCCTCTTTAGCAATACGCTACCCATTCTTTTGGTGTCTACTTTATTTTATAACGATTCGCTCTACAGTTGTAATGAAATAACGTAATGGCACGGGGCTCGAGCTGACACTCATAGGGGCATGCATACTCCCGGCAGAAACTGAGCAAGGGCCGATGATTTCTGTGTGTGACTGTCGCAGAAAGTATACCTTCAACCTGAGCGTGGAGGTATGGCAAACGTCACTCTTGGATTGTCGGCATTTTGTAGCGCCTGATTAAATGCGACCTATGACTATTACTTCCTGACTGTTATGTGAGAATAAACGTTTTTAATGAACTGTTTTGTGTCCTAATATTATTGGTCGCGTATGGACTAGACTTGAGCAAACATTTTAGTCTTTTGTCTATCGGTATAATGTGCCGGAACATTACGTAGGCCACAGGGGCGGATCTAGGATTTCGATAGGGTGGGGGCAGTCAAGCACAGGGGCGGCACATTTTCCGCCTAAGGGGGCGGCATTTATAGGGTCTGTTCCAGTCCAGTGAAAAAAAAACGAGCTTGACGGCCGTCACGAGACGCAGCGATTGATATTCAAATTTAGGGTCTCAGGTCAACTGGTGACCTCTGGTCAGGTAAATTACCCTTAAGTCGGGTTTTTGTTTTTGGCAAATAATTTTGCAAACAAATGGCCATAGAGCAAAAATTTAGGCATAATCGTATACCTCTCAAGCTGCGTCGAATGTTGTGGGTACTTTTTGTTCGGTAAAGGTCACAATCAAGATTGACACAAAGGTCGTCAGGTCAAGCCCCCTCAGGACACTGTTCGGACTAGGTCAGGTTGCATATCAATCGATTTGGAAGCTCATTGCAATCACAATGGTGCCTTTCCCGACTCTAGCTTAATTTGGTCGAAAGTTATTAACGAAAAACGATTATGACCCAAAAGAACGTCCTCTGTGACGTTCTCTGTGGCGTCATACAAGTAGGTACAAAATGCCAAAATAAGGCACGGAATCCTTTGACGAGCGTATGAAAACACATTTATTTGCGTCTTCGGGCGGATTATATAACAACTATATGTTCCAAAAAGAGCAAGTTCAGTAGTTCCCCCATAGGTTTATTATGGGGGAGGTCAGGTGACTGACCTGACCCAAGATGAATTGTACGAACAATCCAAGATATACGAAGTATGAGTACCTACCCGGGAGCTTGTTACTTTCTGAAAGTGTCATCATCCTCGCCGAAACTTTGCCTGGCGTTGGCGGCGTTGCGAAGTTGCAACATTTTTTTACAGTGCAGACTGCAGAGTGCAGAGGTTTACTTATAACCTTTAGAGGTTTATGCATCGGTCAGTGACCTGACCATAGTTGGAGAATTGTACTGAACTGTGGGTGCACGAGCTCTCCCAATTCCACGCCGGCTTGGCTTTGGAGCCGCAACAGACTGGAGGTCAAGGTCACCGCTAGGGCGGCGGCGGATTTGCTGCGCCCGAGCACCCACCGTTCGGCACAATTATCCACGTATGGACCTGAACTAACCTGGAAAGGAATCAGGTGTCATAAGGTCTGGTTTGGATGGGGGCTCACGTAGGCCAAGTTTCAGCTCTCTATCGAAAACGGCTCCGGAGCAGTCACGAAAAAAAATCGTAAGGGGTGCCCCCCCCTCCTCCCTCGGCCCGCGAGGGTTAGAGGTAGTGTGCCACCTTTCAAAGATTTCCCATTTTATTTTTCCTAGGATAAGAAGCTTCTGTTTTTACCTAATATCGCAAAAAAATGGGCCTGGAATAGTGCTTTTTTCGCCGAAAACTTTATCGGTTTTTCGATATGTATAACAACTGTAGTGGGCTGACCTGCAAACAGGCGTCGGCAACAATCGCGAATGCGGCGCACATGTGACAATAAGCAAAGGTCATTATAGAGTTACGACGTACGGGAATGAGTTATCAGCTGTCTAATCGTAGACAACACAATGTAGAATTTAAACTGTAAGCCTGTATTGGTATTGTTTCTTTAATTTGGCTGTCGAACATTGATTTATGGTTTGAAATATTGTTTTATGTAAAATAATTGATATGAAACAGCCGTCTCTAAAGTTATGACCCCATCTCACCACATGAAAATGGCAGAAATGACAATGATCAGCTGACGCATTTTTCTTGGCCGAAGTCAGAGCGCGCGGCCCGACGCACCACCACCGCACCACAAAGTATGAGCAGAAGCCATCTGCGGTAGACCGCGTCTAAAGCCAGGGCCCCGGTAACGTGAGGTAGCCGAGTCGAGGCAGCGTGCGCTGACCCAAGCCGGGGCCGCGGCTTTGGGCGCGGTCTACCGCATCCCCGGGCAGCCCCGGGCTATCACATGACACCGGGAGCACGCGCGGCCCCGGCTTGGGTCAGCGCACGCTGCCCCGACTCGGCTACCTCACGTTACCGGGGCCCTGGCTTTGGGCGCGGTCTACCGCACCACCTAACAGGCGTGTTCGAAACCGCAGGAGATGATGATGAACGGGTTTATCGAAACTTGATTGGATGAGCCTATCGGTAATAGCGATTTCAGTGTGTGCATTTATTGTTCATAGTGGTGTGAAATGTGGTTGGGGTACGACCGACAACCCGTCGGGGCGAATTTCGCACTGGGGTACTCAAAATTTGAAGAATTTAAGACGTTCCCATGAGTTTTGAAGGTATGGATAAGTTCTAAAAATCTGGTTCTCCTTATCTGGGCCATTAACTCCATACGGTCCAGGAAAGCTGACACACTACCTTTAAGAAGGGGGTAAACTGGCTTCAGGGACGTCGCTACGAGTTCAGAGGGAGCTACTTTCATTTCAGAGGGCGGCACTGTATCTCAGGGTCTTGGCTAATGAATTTCGACTAAGGGGCAAACCAGACCTCAGAAGCCAGAATGACACCACGTAACATACATATACCGTATACACCGCATGTAACATGCACAGGCTAGGATACAAAATTTCTGCCCAAACATAAGTATTCGTACACCTACTTCTACCGAGGGGTTAAGACTTATGTAAGAGGCCAGCGTTAGGCGCTCGAAGGCCCAGGACGAGCCCTCGGAGGCTAGCATGGGGCACTCAGAGGCCGCTTTGGGGACCCTAAAAGGCCAAATGTGAGGGGGGCGTGTGGCGTTAAAAAGCCCGCACGTAGGCCTTGTAAGACCAACGGGGTAGGGCCTTCTGAGGTCATATAGGGCCCTATGATGACAATTTGGGCCCTCTTAGGCCATGGGCCTGGTGCCTTCTTTGGTCGGTGTGGGGGCCCTCTGTGGACAGCGTTGGACACTCTGAGGCCAGCGTGGGGCCCTCTATCTTCTGAAAACTGAGATTGGTGCTGACTGCTGAGTCCTCAGAAGCCAGCGCGGGGTCTTCATAGACTGGTGCTGGGCCATCAGAGGCCACATTGAAGGCCTCGACAGGCAGAATTCAGCACTTATGCATGATTGGGCCTTAGAGGTCGGACTGAGGCCCTGGAGGGCGACATGGAGCCATCAGAGGAATTCATAGCCCGAGTTGGACCCTCCTAAAGCTTAGGGTATCAGCCCTCAACCAGCGAAAGACTCTAGGCAGATCGATATCTGCTCTTTGAGGCTGACGTGGGGCTCTCGGGGACCATCTTGAGCCCTCAAGGATCTAAGACCGGAGATAGGATCTACAGGGTCCGATGTGGAGCCTCCAAAGCCTGTGCAGGGTCCTCAGAGGTCGACGACATGGAGCTCTTAGAGACCGACCTATGACCAGCGTGACCTCTCAGTGACCAGCGTGGCCTCTACCGGTCTGTGCAGGAGCCTGTAGAAGTCACAAGAAAGGTCACCAAAGGCACCAAAAAATTCAACAATAACTTTAAAAGAAGACATAGTAAGAGTGTATTATGTAATGCCTTCAGCCCAACAACACAGATCAGTTTATGTACAGCATGACCTTTTTCGGTTAGAGCATGCAACCGACAATAGGTCATACTATAGATAATTTAACGCCTCTCGATACGAGAGACACAATTACGGTAAAAACTGTGCCTACCATACGTGGAGTGAGTAGATATATGTATAGTACGTAAAGAAATGGAACAAATGCTTCTGCAAGATCCGTCTATTTTGGCAGTTTTTGCTCTCAGTGTGGGCCAAATTGTCGAACTGAGCTCGAATCTAAGGACAACGCAGTGGAAGCTGCCAAGGATCTATCAAATGCATTGTTCCGTGACGCTGTAACACTTACGGTTCACGAGCTATGCGCCCGGATGCGAGGGAAAAAATTGGCAAAGTTGGCTAGGAACCGCACCCGGTCTCGGGTAAAGTAGGTTACCACTGGGGCCCCTAAAGTTAAGATAGGACCCCTTCTTAATTCCCATGTTTGGCCTCCTCCCCTTTCCAACATATTAATACGCCACTTGATGACCTGCCCTACTATAGGTATTAGACGAATGGCTATTGGCCGTGTAAACACTGGCGCCAAAATGAGAAAGTGAAACAGCAAATTTGTCAGGCACCGGGTTCAACAACTAATTTTATGCTGGATAATATTTGAAGCGCCTTATTTACTCCGACTGGGTGGGAAATATCTCGTCACTTCGGGACCACCGGAGGGCGGCACTATGACTTCAGAGGCGGCACTTTGACTTCAGAGGGCGGCACTATGACTTCAGAGGGCGGCGCAATGACTTCAAGGACCTTCACGAAGACTGGAGGGCGGCGCTATGACTTCAGAGGGCGGCACTATGACTTCAGAGGGCGGCGCTATGACTTCAGAGGGCGTCGCAATGACTTCAAGGAGCTTTACGAAGACTGCACGGAGGGCGGCACTATGACTTCAGAGGGCGGCACTATGACTTCAGAGGGCAGCACTATGCTTCAGAGGGCGGCACTATGACTTCAGAGGGCGGCACTATGACTTCAGAGGGCGGCGCTATGACTTCAGAGGGTGGCACTATGACTTCAGAGAGCGGCGCTTTGACTTCAGAGGGCGGCGCAATGACTTCAAGGAGCTTCACGAAGACTGCGGAGGGCGGCAGTATGACTTGAGAGGGCGGCACTACGACTTCCGAGGGCGGCATTTCGACTTCCGAGAGCGGCACTACTACTTCAAAGGGTAGCAATATGACTTTAAGTAGCGGTACTTCGAATTAAGGGGCGGCACTCTGACTTCAGGGAGAGAAGCGACATACTCTGAGGGTTAAATATAAATTCAGATAGTTACTACCAGAGATTATTATGAAATGAGCTTCAAAGAAATGCGGGTCATTTCCGTAAAATGCACTTCATCACGCATGGAAAAAAGCCGCCCTCCGCCGCCTTCGGCGGCGGAGGGGCGGCATTTTTCGATAGGCTAGGGGCATCGGCCCCCAGATGCCCCCCCCCCTGGATCCGCCCCTGGTAGGCCACAAAACATAACATAAACCAAATCCTAAGAAGTCTTTGTCGCATGCAGAAGATCGGCCGTTTTCAAACAAGACACAAATGTGCCGTAGAAAAAGGCAAAAAAGGCCTATCGTTCCCGCCTTTTCCTTCCTGCTTGGCAAGTGTGCTTCAGCTATAACACGTTCGTTTAGAACAGCAGCTGCCTAAAGTAGCCTTCTATTCTATCAAGCTGACAACATTACAAGGTATCGTCAGTTTATTGTCATGCGTCAGATCCGTTACTCATCTATCCTCGCAAACGTTCATTGAACGCATAACATTCTCTCTACCCAGACGCATCACGGGAGCAGACGTCACATTTTCGCAGTGAATCTTTGCGTCACACAGACGTAACGCAGTGACGGCGCCACCATGGCCGCACAGCGTCACAATGCGTCACAGCAGTGATACGCAGCGTCACAACTTGTCACAGAAGCGGCGCACAGCGTCACAACGCGTCACAGTAGCGACGCATACGAATGTGGTGGGACGTCACGCTCGAAAGACGGCCATACCAGGAGGGACTATAGCTAGCGTGAGTTTCAGATATCATGCCTGTCAACCTCTCGACAGGTGTTGCGCCCTCAGCGCTGCACTGTATTGATGAAGGGACTCGAATCTCTGACTCCTATGGAAACATTGACATTTGAGCACATTTCAACACGCGTAGAAATGAACGGGGAGTGACTGACATGGTATAACAGTCCACAGCAGAAGTAATGTGTGGTTTCAGTCATGGGTATGTTCTGCTTCTGAAGCCTAGGAACGATCAGCCAGACTGCAACGAGACGTTAAATGTAGCTTACATGTATCTTCATCCTTGCAGCTACAACGTTATCTATTGACGTCTTCTTTTCAATCAGTCCGCATTTAAAAATCGTCGGTCAAAGCCATCCGTTGAGATTGGTAAAACACACATTACTTTAGCGGTGGGCTGTACCTACAAGTCCATGGGAACCATTCTTCGGAATGCTTGTAATGAATTATTTGTGAATCACGAATGTTTGACGGGTTGACAGTCTAGAAATTATTATATCCGCAATTCACGGAAAACTCCACAGGCATTTCGCGACATCAGCTGAGGAGACATGTAAACAAAACACGCTGGACTTCATGCCCAATGAGGTTTAGAATCTTAGACATCAAACCGGCGAGGAATTTATAACAAAATCAATATGTATGCATAGCAACGATTGATTAAATACTCCTGTGCCTATCTTGCAACGAATGTCTACCCTGCAAAAAAGATCAACCGTGAAAGATTTGTAGTAAACACATGAATAATTTCTCGGTATAAATGAATAACTAAGTAGGTAACTGACAGAGAAGGGATAACCACCTAATTATTGTCGGTGCACTTCATGCAAATGCTTTCTTTGATGTAAATTTGATATTATATGACTTCTAGTTGTACCGTATATCCCAGTAATTATACAGTATAAATAGGAAAATTATAACCATGTGAATATACACTGGCAAGTTACGTCCATACTCCATAACACTCCCGTGTCTCCTTGCCCACACAAAGTTTTGTTTTCGCTACATGCAGGAATAACAAAGGTGTCATTGCTGACTTTATCAAATTGCTATTCATCAATAAAGTATTCATTCCAATCACGAGCACTGGCATGCATAACTTCACTCATAAACCTACTCTTGACACAATTCACAAACATTTTCAGTCCTACGCTGCACCTCAGCAACCATCGCCATACCCCCTGACGAGCGCCAGCACAAAGCACAGCTTCCTATATTGTTCGCCAGAGGCGCTGTCGTCTCACTTTCTCCGCCGGAACCGTCCAATCTCTGAGTACTTGAGGTCGAGTGCGACCCGATCGTCGTATAGAGAGGGAGCCTGGAGGATGATACCAGCCGTGCCGACCACCACAGCTAGCAGAAACACCCAGAGGAAGAGCCGATCCAGCACCATGGCCACGTACTTCCAGTCCTCGCGCACCTGCGGAAGGAAAGATGGGGGAGGTTAGGTATCCAGCGGTCAGGGGTGAGCACACATAAATATTCCTCTGACACACACTTCGCTATAACTTTCCACCTTTACACTGGTGGTCCCTATTTTTAAGCTGACATAAGCGCTTATACTCGTATATCCTCCTGATATCACGTTTCTTCCGTTTACTGTCGTGACCATCGGACCCTTTGCGGTCTTGTCTGGACGGTCACCACCAACCAGAACTGAAATAATGAAACGCGATAGAAATTAACTCCCCGTTCCTTACACAAGCAGATAACCTTTGACGCCCATCACACCAATCGCTTACCGCCAGCTGATCCTCCTTGTTCTTGGTGTTCTCGGCGATAAAGTTGACACACCAGCTGACCCGATGGATCTCCTGTGAGCAGCCGGCCAGCCCGAGGCGCGACCGGTTACCGAGAACAGGCACCCGGTCACAGAGGGGGCTCCAGTCGCTCGCCTCTCCGCCGTGCACCTGGCACGACGGGTTGATAACCGACTCTGAATAGTGCCTGTGGGGAAAACAACACTCGTGTGGGCAATATGGTGAATGCAATGTGCACAGTAAGCGTTTTAATATACAAAGCGGGAAGTTAAACACACCATGACAAGTGTTTTATTTGGCATACGTATGGCCGCAGTCACATGAAAAAAAAAATCAACGAGGAAGGCAACTATTCACAAGAAAAGTCCAAGTCGAAATCACAAAGGAGCAGATAACAACTTCAAGAAAGGGATTCGTGAACGGCTTTTTATCTGCAAGAGTTCATCCTATTCGCTGAAACTCTCCAAAAGTAAACAACCCTGAATGTAAACCAAGCCCATAGACAAGATTCGCAATAGTACCCGTCAGCAATGTCTTTCTTTAAAGTATTTTTCAACGTTTTTCAATGTTCTACAACATTTGAAACATTATTTGTATTATACACCATACTCATACACAACGCCCCTACTATCGCTGGGGCCCTCACCTCTCGGCGCACAGTTGAATCCCCTCGACGGATGAGAGCGACTGAGAGCCCGTCAGGTTACCGGTGGACGAGTTCCGTACCGAGGTACAGCCGGGCAGAGGCTCCCCCGGCCGCCAGCCGCTGGAAACGGGCGAGGTCCCACGGTCAGAAGCGCTAACTGCAAATTCACTGACAATAACACGACCCCAAGAGCAGCGTCATTGGTCGTTTGTATGCGTTTGTTGTAACTTGCAATCCAAAAAACGTCTTGCGCACGACATACTTGGAACTAAGAGAAATGGAAACAAGGCAAAAAGTGAAGTGGTGAGACTGCTACAAATGAGGAGCGATAGCCCTTCAGGAGAGACCCTTCAGGTGAATAAGGAACAGAATAAAAAAGTCAGCATGCAGGCTGCTAAACAAACAGCACTATTGCATTTCCGGAACCATATGGGGTGCCTGCAATACAATTTCGTTGCCGAGAATGGAACTGATTTGCAGCCGGCCTCTGCCATCATGGTGTAATTGTGCCTCATATATCGCCTGAGGGAAAAACAATGATCTGCACAGCTGGTAAGCAATAAATCGTGATTCTGGAGCAATTCAGCACGCCCATAATTTGAAGCCATCAAAAATCATCTGATATGAGAGTGGTACAACTGTATAAACGACTAAAGAAAGGATGCTCATGACTACGGAGTAAGGTGCGTTTGTGAAGATATTTCAGTAAGGAACAACATCAAGCGTCTATCTTATCCTTGCAACAATGCCCAAAGTTGAGTATCCATGACAGGTTGGATGATGATGTAAATAATAAACCAAATTATTACAAATGCATTCAAATATATTCAAAAAGACACACAAAGCTTTCGGTTCATGGAACCTTGATCACTGTGCAAATGAGTAGTACTCATTTGCACAGTGATCAAGGTTCCATGAACCGAAAGCTTTGTGTGTCTTTTTGAATATATTTGAATGCATTTGTAATAAGTTGGTTTATTATTTACATCATCATCCAATGCCCAAAGTTGCCGTATTCCCATCACCATATAATTCACTGTCTCACTTCTCAGCCGAGCAGACATTTCTTTTTGAAGTATAGGTCGTATTTCACGACTACGTGATGCCCCCATTTCCTTTCATCTTTCATTTCCGGTGATAGCATCGAGCGGCAGACCGTGGCATTGCTATTGCATTATTATGGCGCTCAATGCACATTTCCAGGGGTCCGATGGCCGCCAAACGACCAATCAGATGGCTTATTAAGCCTTGTTGAGCTCACGAAGCCCACTCCGTGAGCTGAGGGAGAGGAGAGGAGCGGAGAGGAGCGGGGAGGGGGTGACCCGACCTTTTGGGAGGTTTCCGCGGTCGCCGCATGACCAGCAGGCGGGGCAGCAGCTGGATGAAGAGCCTCCGCACCCAGGGCGCCATTCGGTGGGTCTGGGGTGACCGCCAGTGCACGTTCAGCACCAGCACGGTCACCACGATCACTGAAAAAAGTTTTTACCATCAATTTACTAAGTTACTAGCTTTGGTAAATTTTACCATCAGCCTACCATCATATTACTACCAGCCTACTATGGTGCTGAATACTATCCTGCCTTGACATGTTGATATTACCATGGTTACGTTTATCAGGGGTGGTTTTGTACCCCAGTTTACAAGGTGGTAACCACCTGAGGCTAGTAGATACCCTCGTAAGCTAATATTCCCTACCATAGTAAAATCAACCTTTCCACGGGCGGATCCAGCAGGTGAATTCGGCGATCAAGTCTCCTCCTTTCCATAGAGGTGTTTGCCAATTTTTGATATGTTGGAAGGAGCGTCATCCAAGGACTAGCTGAGACCCTGAGCAATTAATAGTTTTATGGACGAAAGGCCAGAAATTTCTTGCAACAGTTCCCTGGGTGTGCTTCTGCTGCTATGGTAAGGTATACCATGGCAACACCATGACAACACTACACCCTTACTAACAATCCACGTGCGTCTGACTCTGCTGCAGCGGCGCCGCCATGTCAGTTCCGGCCGCGCGCCGGCGTTGTGAAGGTGCTCCGTGGTTTTAAATATTTGAACGGTGATTGTGTGGGTGGTTAGCGTAGCTGACGGTGGAGGATACTCGGAAATAACAAGTAAGTCGTTGTATCTTCAGCATAATAATACTTATCTCACGAGTGCCATTTCCAGCAAAGATCGCAGCCTTTGTTTCGGTTCATGTTGTTGAATTTCCTTGAGACCCTGTTGGACCGGGTAGGGGGAGGGTGGTGGGGTGGGTATCATTGCGGGCATTTCCCAGCGTCGGAAATCAACGTGTTTTTTTATTTGTTAACCCACGCCTCACTGGGGTATGTGCTCTAACGCGCCCCACAGCACGTTACAGCACGTTACAGTGGGGGGGGGGGGGCTCCTAACTCCGAAACTACTGGGCCGATTGTCAAAATTCAAACGGCCCCTGGTAGCCCTGGAAATATTGTTGAGCGAAGCCTAATGTCATTGACCTCGAGGTCATCGATGACGTCACAGGTCAGGTCAAAGTAAAAATATCAGCGTCTTGGCACTCTGGGCGCCGGCCAACAAATCAGATCAGGCTCATTTTTTGTTTGCACACTCGTGAATATATGCGTAACATAACCTGAGGGTACCGAACTTGTACTTCGAATTTTTCAGGTCAAGGCCATCTCATCCCAGGTCACGAAAGCTTTATATCGTGCATCGGTGACGTGAGACATGTTTTATGGTTCATGTAGGCCATATATATCGAAATCAGTGTTGTATGTGTCAGTTTAGGCCATTTTAGCTGAATATAGCTGAGGTCAGGTCAGGTCACTTTAGGTCAAAAATGGTCAAATTTTGAAGTTGACATTTTTCAACAAAAAAGGTGTTTGTCAGATGAAGTTCACATATATTCAACGCATATGTGTTCAAACACATATAGACCCCGTTTCCATGGGCATCACTGATCCGGATCAGCAAACTTAAATCGTATTATATTTCTCGAACTCTTCGTTACATGATATAATTCCAAGTGGATTAGGCTTATATAATCAGTTAATCCCTTATTTTCATTTTCATATATTGTCTAACTATACTGGATTAGCTAATCCATTTTTACTGATCCGGATCAGTGATGCCCATGGAAACGTGGTCATATTCTGCTTTTTTTCATTCAGAAACGTATATGTAAAAAAATAAAAAATACAATTTCTGAGTTTTTATATTTATAATTTTCAAAATATTCAACATTTCGAAAGTCCGAAATCAGTTTGGTAGCCCTGTAGAGTCCACCCATGCAAAAAAAAGGATCTAGCTTAACCCTCAAGGCGGTGGGGGGGGGGGGGGGGCATTTTTTGCATCCATCTTTAGTTTTTTTTTTCGATATATCTCCAGAACCGCTGCGCCGATCTTCACCAAACTTTCAGTACCCTTTTGCACATTGTGACCAAATTTTTTTTCCAAAGGCTATGATAAGTTGGCCGCTACGTCGGAGTGACGTCATTTCTGCCATTGTCGACCAAAAAAAAAGCTTCGCGGGAAGAGCTGTCAGGTCTATAAATTTGATTATGCATAAAAATGTTCAAGACATGAAATGTGTAGAATTACCAGGGCTACTATACTGTTCTCTCGATTTTGTTTTTGAAGTTGACCCCAAAAATAAAAAGAAATAGATATAATAGCCAAAAAATCCCAAAAGTTTTTCGATTTTCGAAACAAACGGAATATATGTAATAGCCACTATGGACTTCTATTCACATTCCAAGTATTAGATCGATAACTCCTTTTTGCCAAGTTATAACAAAAAAAAAAACTGTTCAAAATTAATGACGTCAAATTTTCAAACTCGATTTTGGCAATTCTAGACCACAAAGCGCAAAACAAAGACCACCATTAGACTCGCCGTGACGAGTGGCATCGAATCAATACCAATTTTATGCGAAACTATCAACTTTGACCTGAAATTTGACCTTTTTGACCTGACATTGACCTGACCTCCACCAGAAAGTGACCAAAAAACCGTCCCTGATGGTCTTATAACCAACACCATTGAGGCGAATATGAAAAATTGGCCATAAAACATGCATCGCACAACCCTACTTAGTAAAGATAGGTTCATGTGCTGACCCTTGGTGATCGGACCTGGTATTATCAGTGACCTCCAATAGCAACATATGCTCGTATAATAGGCAACTCACGCCCTATCGCTGATTTTTGACAAAATGCCCTTTACTCGATGTTGCAGCGCATTCCTTAAAAGACCCGTGAACGGTGAAACATTTTATCTTTGACTTGGCCTGTGATGTCATCGGTGACCCCGAGGTCAATGAAATTGAAGTTCCCTCGACAAATTTAACAAGGCTATCGAACGCCATTTAAATTTTACCGATCCGTCATAGTAGCTTCGGAGATTCGGGGGGGGGGGTCAAAAATCCCCCCCCCCCTCCCACCGCGCGGAAGGTAGCCGGGAGGCCCACCGCTTGCCGGGTTAAAACTCAGATCTTGAGAGCGATTACCGTTGTTCAATGCTTTGCATCAAAATCGGCCGAACATGATGTCACTCTGGCGTCATTTCCGGCCGATCTATAGTAGCTACGAAAATTTTATTAGTGCACAAGGTGTCAAATAAATTGATGCAGCCGAAGGTCCTAAAAGCTTTGTTTTGATACGTCCAGCGGTTTTAAAGATATTGCGTAAACACGAGAGGGGCTATGAATAGCCCTCCCCACAGTAGGGTGGGGGTTAACCCTCGCCCGTATTGGTGTTTTTCCAGCCACGAACGTTTAAGGGGGGGGGGGTCCGTTGAACCCCCTCCTTGCCGTTTCGCCCCTGATTGAGCTAGAGCTTCGCGGAAAAAACGAGCGTGCTGCCCGTGACGAGAGAAAGCCGATGGTACCCAATTTTATCCTAGGTCGTCGGTCCTAGGTCATCGGTTGACCTTCCAGGTCAGGTCAATGACCCAAAAGTGGGGAAAACTGGGACCTGTTAGAACGTCGTAAAACGTGGCTGCTATTGGGTTTTTTAGGGAACTGATCACGAATATCATGTTAGCTATGATCATAGATGATGTCTTCATGCATTTAGGCCAGGTCGGGTCAGGTCAGGTCAGGTCAACCAGTAAGGGTTTTGCCGGGTATTCGTAGTAGGTGCACTAGGTGGCAACCGCCTCTGACAGCTTCGTAACATGTTACGAAGGCACCAAAACTACTTCGTAAATGTTCATATATGGTTGTTAAATTCGAAATCAGCTAAAAAAACTAGCCTAGAAAGATGCTGATAAAACTCGAAAAAGTAAACCGAGGTCATCAAAGGTCAATGAACTGACCTGACCTTCTGGTGACCTTGACATCCACCCTAATGCATGGGAGCAGCATCATATCCCATGTTTGAACGCTTGAAACCACGAAAGGACTGCAAACGCGCGGCAAATGCGAGCCGACATACGCCGAATCGCGATTCCGGCCAAACATGGTCTCGAAAAGTAGGTCACAGGTCAAAGGTCATTAGTCAGGGCCATTACATTTTTTAGGGTAGGTGTAAAATTGATTATAACTCGAGGGTACTGAAAGCTTCGTTGCGGTCGGCCGCTTTTTACGCGAGGTATTCGCGAAAAAACCGAGGGGGAGTCCGTTCGACCCCCCCCCCCCCTATACGGGGGAGGGTTAACAAGCCAAAACGTTGCTAATTTTTATTTTGATCTGACCTGTGACGTCAACGGTGATCTCGAGGTCAATAAAATTAGGTTTTGCTCGACAGTTTTTCCAGGGCTATCAGACGCCGTTTCAGTTTTGACAATCGGCCCAGTAGTTTCGGAGTTGGAGCGGGGGGGGGGGGTTCTATAAATAGCCCCCGCCTCCCCCAGTGGAGTGCGTTACAGAACATACCCCAGTGGGGCGCTGGTTAAGAGTAGAATTTTTGAATTATTGCCAACACTCAACACTGCACCTCATGGCAATTAATTCATTATAGGGCATTTTACCTGAACCAGCCTCTGGCCTAATGTCCCAAATTTGCTAAATTCCTCACCCTACAAATCCCCTGTTCTATTAGATGCTGCCATTTTTTTTAAAACAACTTATCTTAAATCCTTGTTTCATCAAACTGGGAGCTAGGTCACGGGACACTGCGAGTCAAGGTGGGAGGGGTAGGAGATAGAGTGTCACTGCAGCACACACAATCATCTTTCCATTGGTTTATCTTATATCAATGCCTGCTCTTTTCCAGAGCTGGCTTTCGAAGTTCGAACCTTCGGTATATGGCTACCAATGCCCTTGGAGAAGGTGTTGCGTGATAAATCGCTGGAAGGGCGACATTCAACGATTGTGTGAAAAGAGACCGATTGCATTGTGATGATAAAGTGAACTGTAATAATTGTTGTTCATGCGCGTTGTTTGGTTATGTGCAGACGTAACTTTGTTTGTGGCCAAATGCTTTTTATGTGTGAAATATTTCATGTAGGTTACTAGGTAATGCTTTGGAAAAGTGAAGAGCTGCTTTGTCG